GATGGCATGGTGTACCAATCGCTAGGACTAATTCTTTCCATGAATCTTTGGTTTTCTTCATTCTTCTTTGCTCTGGACGAGGAGAGACCCATCATTGCATCTAGATGGCTGCTTGCAAGCATTTAAGATCCCAGTTGCTACTCGCCAAAGTAGAAGGTGGAACAATGTTTTGTGTAGTGTGTTATGCCAATTGAGCTTGATGTCCCCTGTGACTATGGTCCAAGCCTACTGGTTCAACTACTCGATCCCTCTGGGTAGCTGGCTGTGACCAAGAAGTGACTACAGCCTTGTCCCTTGTCAGCTCTACTATACACCTGGGAATTCTTTATTTATTTATTTTTTTATTGTGATTTGGGTGAAGATTTACAGAGAAAATTTACTTTCCATACAGCAGTTCACATACACTTTGTCTCATGACATTGACCACAATTTACTACAGTGCAACAGCTCCCCTCCCACTTCCTCCCCATAGTTACCTCTTCCCAGTGTCCATCCCTCCATGCACTCCTGCCCACTGAGCTGTCTCCCTGTGCATAAGCAGCCCTTCTTTCTCCCATGATTGTTCTCTCCAAGGAGTGTAGCTACCTCAGTGCACCTGGGAATTCTTACAGATCATACAAATACACTGATAGGACCATTGTCTGCCAACCCTGTACATGGTCTTGGGTACAATCCCCGCTTCATAGACATACCTAATAGTTCAGCCTGTCCACCCATCTATCCACCTGTATACCCATGTTTGCTTTCACTGACAATGCAGTACTGTATGTGCACAAAAATTTTTGACAGTCCTTTTGGTGTCATCCACTTTGACAGTGTCACCTGGTGCAGTCTGCACCCCCACCTCACCCCCATACCCTCCTAGTGACAAGGCTGATATGATTCATACTTTACCTCCTGGACATCTGAAGTGGTCATGGTCTACAGTGACCCTGTCAATGACACTAAAACTGAAAGGGCATTAAGATAAAGGAAAGAATTGAACAGAGAGAATTGCAAAAGTTAGAAAAAAGGATAGGGACAAGGGCAGTCAGGGCTCTTGGTTTTCTGGGCTTGCTTTCATCTGCTAATAATATCCAAGTT